ACAGGTGTCCACCACAACGCCTTTATTTTCAGTAGACACGGGGTCTGGCTCTTGCTCAAGCTGGTCTCAAACTCTTGAAATCAAGTGACCTCCCACCTCAGCCTCTCTGAGTGCCAGGATTACAGGCGTGAGCCACCACACCCGGCCCCAGAAACACATTTTGAATCCCTGCAAAAAAGAAATGTAGTTCCTAGTATCACAACCCCAGTGTCACACTCTGATTCCTTGTTCACACAAGACACAAACAGAATAGACCTCAGCACTTTCCACACAAGTGAGCGCTAACAGGAGGAACAGGATGGCGTGGGAACATTACTTCATTCTCTTGGGGAAATAATAAGAGAAAATTGTAACTCTTAGTAGCCTCAGGCCAATCACATAAAAAGCTGTGTGCCTCTTTCTCAGAAAGATTAATGCTTCCTAAACTCCCTCACGGGGCAGGACGCTGACTTCCTAAAACATTTGGGGGGAGGTCTAAGTCTGCTCACACGTGGAAAGAATGAGCTGAGAGGACAGCTGGGACTGGAAAGGCTGAATTGTAGAGAGTCAAGAACAGAATAACCTTTGGACTAATTTCGAGGTTGCTTAAGTGTCCTGAAGTTTCCGTCTATGGTGTATTTTTAACAACTGAAAACTAACCATATCCTCGGGAGAGAGCTGCTCGGGTTTTGGCAAGCTCCTAACCAACCCAAATTTCATCCAAACCTGTGGCCACCGTTGAGACTGGGAAAGTAGCCGGGGTCCTCCACTCTCTCATCAGTCTGTGTGGGGGACAAGCTTTCAAACAGTGTTACAGTCTCATTGGGTGAGGCTTTGCATCCCTCATTACCTCAGAAATTTAGAAATTCCAGGTCTTCTCTCCAAACAATCTGAAAGGGACTTGACCTTACGAGTCCTTGGACCTGGTTCACATATATTTGAGCTCCTGAGAAAGGCCATGCCTGAAAGGTCAAGAGACCCATTTTTAACAAGAGGCTGCGGCTGTGGCAGGCCAGCCCTGCTGGGACCACGAGCCAATACCTAGTTGGCACCTGCTGTTGACCTCTGTCCTCAAAAGCACTGGCCTCTTAGGACCCAGGGGGAGGGGTTCCGGTATTTCAGAATCTGCTCTTAGGCATTCTTCTCCTCCTTCCTAAAGAAAGGTAACCATAAAAAATTAATCTGGTTTAGTGTTTGGCTCCATCTGAGGTGCGTCAAATTCTTGTTTTAGTTTCTCAGACTGTTCAACATCAGTGGAAGCTGAATTAATGATTATCATAGATTGTATCCAACTTCCATGGGATTAGGCCCAGGAAAATCAGCTTTTAAAAGAGCTAAAGACTATGAGAACAGAACAAGGAATCAGCGTGCTAGGGAGAAAGGGCAGGGGGAAGCTCGCATCTGAACGCATTTCCTTGGTGTCACACATAACTAAGGGGTACACATTCATTATTCTGGAAAGAAATAAAGCATGGAAGCCCAATGGGCTAACCCAAGGGAAAGGCTTTTATTAATGCAGGTCCAGAGAAACTGCCCACGCCAGGGTAGACACTGCTTCCAGCACTTTCTTTGTTGCATATTCTGGTTTCTCACTGCACACAGCCATCACTGATGTTAACCCAAATCCACGCCTGACTCAGGACGGACAAGCAGCCCCTACCTGCATGTAGCCAGTGTAGGTTACAACCAAAGCACAAAACTAAAGCAGAGACCAGCATTTGCCACACCATCCACAGAGCCCTGTGCTCATGGGGTCCATTCATCTCTCTCTATCAAAGCCTGAATCGGAAAGGCATGTGGTAGGTTCTGTCACTCCCAACTGGAGAATTCCGTCATCCATGAATGGATATTGGATAATTTTCACCTTTTCTGAAGACACAAGGACCTGCTCTCTTCATGCCTTCCTTGCAGTCTCCTGCTCTGCTTTGTGAGAGCCCACTCTCCAACATGGCACTACAGGTGGAGCCCACCAATGGTTCCTATAAATACTCCACAAACTGACCTCAAAAATGGAGATCTTCACAAACCAGCATACTCAGAACTCAAGCAGCCTCTGCTACTAACAAAGTGAAGGCTATTAAAGGCAACACGGGCAAGATGTAGCATTTTATAGTCTTAATAACTGGTTTAAAGTTGTTTGGAATCAATTTGCTTGATTCCATTTTAAGAGCCAAAATAAAAAAAAACTTCAAACAAGTAACACTTCCATTTCTTATTAAAAGAAAATGATGGAATTCTACAGCTTAGCTTTGATTTTATTTTGATTATTTCCTTTTCCTCTAATGGTTGACCCTTAATGTGAAGTACTCTAATTACTGGGTTCCACCCCAAATCTACTGCTATTCTATCACATGGCCTCCTTTCATCCCACCTTTATCCCTCCCATCTGATAAACAACTATTTAACTATTAATTCCAAACTATAGCCCTGGGAGAAATGAACAGATACTAAGCTCTCCTCAACAACAACCTAGAAAGAGAATTCAGTGAGAAACTGAATTTGTGAAATGCTATGCTCTTAGAGATTTACCAAGTTATCCAAGAAGTCTTGCAATAAAGTTTAACTTTCTCTAACTCAGAGACAATCAAACATACAACACAAAAGACCTTTTCCCCTTCATACAAGGTCTTTTCCTATGGGAAACTGCCATTTGCCAACTGCTAAGGGCTCAGAGCCCCCTGATTCCTGCTTGCTGAGGATGAGCCCACCTGACGGTCTTTGAGAGCCCATGGGGTGTCCCAAGGACCCACGTGCCCTAAGAGGCCCCTTGCTTTACCCTAAGTCCCAACACTAAATAGCATGACTTCCTGGGGAGCTGAAGATGGCACAAAATAACTGCACTTCCCTTTCTACCCAGAGGCAAAGCCTTGAATCCCAATACTTACTAAAAGCCTGTTGAGCTAAATGCAGTGTGGGATTCTGGATTGGACCATGGAAAAAGACGTCAGTGGAAACTGGTAAAATCCAAATTAAGCCTGGGTTTAATTAAGAGTCATTTCTCAATACTGTCTGCTTAGTTTTGACAAATGTATTACAGTGATAAAAGATGCTGACATTAGGGGAAACCAGCCTGCTGTTGCTTCTCATTCTGGGGAAGACTCACATGAGCACTGGAACCAACTTGTTCTCTGTTGTCCTGACCTGGGAAGTACTGGAGCTTAACCACTGCTTCAGGACGATACTTCTGTATTGTGAGGGGTATAAGAACTCTGTATTATCTTTGTTACTTTTCAATAAATCAAAAATTATTCAAAAAATAGGGTTTCAGAGTGACACCAGCAAGATGGAAGAAGAGATGATCCCTCACATCACTCCCCTCATAAAAATACAACTAGAAAATACTCAAAGACAAGAATGCCACTCTGAATACATCAGAACTAGAACTCAGGGAGAAGCAGAGAACCCCCCACCCCCAACACACAGGCTAGAGAGACGACATGACTGGTAAGAGACATGGTCACTTCGGGCTGTACCACCTCCTCCCCCAGCCAGCACGATGCCACTCACAGAGGACTTCCCTAGACCCACAGTTGCCAAGAAGACAGGCGGGAACTGGAGGTGGACACTCCACCTCCCCACTGGTCTAGGAATCTTCCTAGGGAGCCCACCTGGGGCCCATCCATGGGAGCCACTGGAGGTCAGGAACAAAGAATAAGGCACTGATTACAGCAATTGGCACATGGATCTTGGTGCTATTCAGCACTCCGATCAGCAGGAACAGGACGCTGAAGAGACCAGCTGGCACCACTGGCACCACTCCCCTGCCCTGAGTTGCCGTCTTCCTGCTTCAATCCTTCCCAATACCAATCCTCCAAATTTACACCATCCACATTTTCCTTCTTAAGACCAAGCTCAAGTCTTATCACTCCAAGGATCTGAATGTCTAAAAGAATCCTACTTGGCTACCCACTAACCTTCTGGTGGTTACACTGGTTTCTCAGCCCCAAATCTACCTTCCCACTCCTCAGTCTTGTTTATCATTGTTCTCCTATTTCCTCAGATGCCCCTTCAGACCAGTCCTGGCCTTCCCTAATGTGTCCCCATGTTTGAGCCTTGGGCAAAACCACTGCCTCTGTGAGAAATGCCTCCTAGTCCATCCAGCCTTCCGAACTCCCCTCCCTCCCAATGCTGGCTCCTGCCTTCTGCTCTCCTCCCATTTCTGCAGCACTTTGTTCTACTTTATTACAGCAAGAACCAAATTTGCCCTTCTATTAGATTATCTGGGTACTGACCTAATGCTTCCACTGAAAGAAAGCTGTCCATTCTGCAAGTACAATAAGAAATGGTTTTAAGTTAAAACACCAAATTTATTGCATAATATTGGACTATATGCACACACATAGAAAATAAACATTTCATATAACCGTATATCTTTTTTAATCTTATATTTATAAAGACTGAAAAACTACCAATTTAGCAATTGGAATAAGTTTTAAAAACAAAAAGAAAAGCAAAAATCTACAATCCTTCATTGAGATTTGATGCTAGGTCATGGTTCATAAATATTCCATTTTGTATAAATAAGTCTTTTCTCTAGTTACTAGGAATTTAAAATTAGCCTTACATGACTTCTTTAATCATCTAGAATTTTCTTATCCCATGATGAGGAAGGTTGAGCATGTCATTATTTTTGAGAAACATATATTTGATTTAAACACAATCTCCCCTAAAATCCCACTGTAAACAAACATTTGAAATGTGATAAACAAAGTTCCATAATAAAGAATGTCCTTACGTCTTAGCAATTAGGGAAAAGGAAAAGAAAATATGAGTAGAAATTTTGCAATTTAAATAAAAATTTAAAAAAAAAAGACTGCATGCATCCACTAGGAGAGAAAAGGACCATCAAGTCAAGTAACAAAGGATGGGGCAGAGTGACAAAGAGAGGAAAGTGCAGGAAGGGAGGAAGGAGGGGAGGCAAAGGAGGAAAGAGAAAACGGTGGATGATATAAAACGGTAAGAGAAAGGGACACGAAATTTATTATTTCTACTTTTCTCGGACAATATAGAGACTCCGAATAATGCAACTTGCTTCAAAAGAGAGATAACAGAAGGAATAGAGGGCGGCTTATCAGTTCACCTTATTGTCAAAGTGATGTGGCTGAGCAAGGAAACAAAGTTAGGCTCAGCTGCAGCTCTAAGCTGTCCTGCTCATCTCTGAAAAGGTCTAGGAAACAGGCACAGCCATGGGAAGGTTGCTATTCCCTCAAGAACCGTTTTTTCTTTAGAGCAAGACATGCTTACAAAGGCTCCTATAAATTCGCAAGAGTCCGGCCAGAGTAATGCATCCAGACTCAGCTGTTTGGACTTGGGAGTTTCTGGAGTAGTCCTTTCCCCCTTTGGGGCTAGAGTGGGACTGCAACATGCCAGGGGCATTTAAGGCTGCAGAGAAAGGAGAGGGTCTGCACCTACTGGTCAGTCAAAACCATCCTTGCAGAGGAATGAGAAACATCAGGGCAGAGCGAGACATTTGTGAAATCAAACTTTAAAAATCCACTGCGATTTTATCCAGCAGAATGGGACATACTCACAAATGCAAGGAACACTGGGTAGTTTGGTTTAAAAAAAAAAAAAAAACACCTCCCATACAAGAGCCAGTTTTTCACCCTATCTCCAACCCCTAATTTTTTTCAAAAGGGTTGTTTACTATCTTATAATCCCAGAAACCCATCAACCAGGTTCAGGATTCAAAAGTCTCAACCCCCTCAGACAGTAAAAAAATAGAAATCGCTCCCCATGATTTTCTGTATACGCCTCAATGTGGACACTGAGGAAGGAAGGGAAAGGCAGGACAAGCTGGGGCAAGTCAGGCCAAACTAAACCCTTCATAGTTGTCAAGGGCCTGGGTCAGCCGTGCACACAGAACCTCTTTGCTGCTGTACTTGGGGAGGTCCAGAAGGTTGTAGCAAGTGTGAGCCACAGGCAGGTACTCCTCCCCGCTGGCTGTGGACTGGATGACGATCTGCAGGCTGGCCATGCCGTAGATGGGAATCCGATCACTGCCTGTCAGGAACACTGGGGAGAGAGGGAAATGCCATTAACAGCTGAGCAAAGCGGGAGGCAATCTCAGGTGTCCTCCCAGCAATAGGAGAGGAAGGCATGACACCCTGTGGCTCTCACGAGAAGTACAATTATGCTGGGGTGCCAGCATGGAACAACGCTCAGAAATGGCCTCCACCAAATGTACACCCTCATACGTGTTATGAGCTTTCATAAAGGTATTACCCTTCTCAGATGTCAAAAATCTAAGAGGGGGCAGCACCTGTGGCTCAAGGAGTAGGGCACTGGCCCCATATACCGGAGGTGGTGGGTTCGAGCCCAGCCCCGCCCAAAAACTGCAACAACAACAACAAAAACAAATAAAAACAAAATCTAAGAGGAAAGAAATCAGTGACAGGAAAAAAGCAGCTGATTTCAGGGTGAAACCTGGAAGAAGTCTCTGTGACCTTTAGGTCTCCTACCTCAAATCCCCAATGCTTGTACCGCCTTGGCTACCGCCCTGGCTACTGACTTACCACATAGGGTCTATGTGCTCTCCTTTCCCTGTCTCTCCATCTTTTTAAACCAGAAAAGCTGACCCACACATTATATCAGACATTTCAGTTGTGTGACACGCGCTGTGACTTGGCCAGGGAATGGGGAGACTGACCCAGCTGTCCGTCCCTGCTCTCTAGTGTGGATAACTTTCTCACAGTTGAATTGCTGGAAATAACTATAATTAAACATTACTTATGAAGCATTTTCAAATAACCTACCATTTTCTAAGGCTGTGATATATAAACACAGTTGCCAAAATCTCTACAGTTAATAGAAATCTTAGTAAGTCTAACAGTCTCTGAATAGAAAATGCCTTTTTCTAAGGAAACCCTCAGGACAATAAGCAGGCTTCTCTTGAGTGTCACCCCCCTACGAGCTCACTTGGCAAACCCTCCCCTGTCATTCAATCCATAGGCCATGCTTCTCAATGGCCAATGTAACTGGGCAGGGGAGCACAAGGCTCTCCTGAAGAATCCTAGGTTCTCCACTCTCTCCCTTGCCTCCTGTAAGCAGCAGAATCCGGAAGTAAGTTTTTCACCAATATAAATACATGCTCAGTCAGTCTTATAATATAGCAAGAGATTGCCTTTCAAATGGTGGGCAGAGGGCAAGGGAGGATTATATAGATCAAAATTCCATACTATTCACTGGCTAATTTCTGACTCTGAGTATACATAGGTACTAGCAGAGAAAGATTTGAACTATTCTTAAAGGGCTGAATTTGTTCATGTAAACTAGACTTCATTCTCCCTTCCAAAGGTATCCCCCTTTTCAAATGTCATCTACCCAGCCACAAAGAAGCACGTGCAGTCTGCTTTCTGTTTATATGAATTGTCTAGAATGGGCAAATCCATGGAGATAGCAAGATTGATGGGGGGAGGGTTAGAAAGAAATGAGGGGTGCTTGCTAATGGCTGTAAGGGTTTCTTTCTGAGGTGATGAAAGTGTTCTATCTATAGTCGACTCTGGTAGTCTCACAATTTTGTATATGTTAAATACCACTGAGTTGTACACTTGATGTGGGTGAATTATATACTTTGAGTGGGTGGATTGTCTAATGTGTGAATTACATCTCAGTAAAACTGCTATAAATCACCTCTCCCCTATTCCATTTGCAGCAGATACTTTGTGATATTTGTAAAAAGCCAAAGGCCAGGTACAGTGGCTCACACCTATAATCCTAGCACTTTGGGAGGTAAGGAAGGAAGACAGCTTGAGGCTAGGAGTTCAAGTCTAGTCAGGGCAAGATATCAAGACCCCGTCTCTACAAAAAATAAAAAATTCACTGGGGGTGGTAGCACACACCTGTAGTCCCAGCTGCTCATGAGACTGAGGCAGGAGGATTGCTACAGTGCAGGAGTTTGAGGTTGCTGTGAGCTATGATGATGTCACTGCACTCTAGCCTGGGCAACAGAGCAAGACCCTGTCTCAGGAAAAAAAAAAGAAGGGTAGAAAGATAAGGGATGGCGGTGCCTGTGGCTGCGTGGGTAGGGCACTGGACCCATATACTGAGGGTGGTGAGTTCAAACCCAGCCCTGGCCAGCTAAAACAGCAGTGGCAATGTAACAAAAAACAGCCGGGCATTGTGGCGGGTGCCTGTAGTCCCAACTACTCAGGAGGCTGAGGCAAGAGAATCGCCTAAGCCCAGGAGTTGGAGGTTGCTG